GATATATATATATATATATATATATACATATATATATACATATATACATATATACATATATATATACATATATAGGTTATTGCACAGGTATTGACATTGAGGTTGAATTATTAGTCAGTTATTGCCACTTGTTCACTGTTATTTATTGAGTTCAGTAATCTGACAGCTTGTGGATAATAGCTGTCCTTAAGTCATTTTGTACGCGATGGCAGACTCCTGTATCGTCAACCTGAGGGTAGTAGATGGAAGTGGTACATGTGGTGGAACAAAAATGTGTACACAGGGTCCCAGTTACAGCCAACAATAAAAAGTAAAAGAAACACAGTTATAAGATCTAAGATATGAACTAAGAAAAACGTTAACTAAAAATACACTAAGTACTGATGTCATAAAAACTATACAGTAACTGCTTCTCGAATGGCAGTTTATGTTTTGATGTTGGACTCTGCTGCCAGCTGACTGTAGATACTTTGACAAGTAATGTCAGAAACATGCTTTTCAGTCACTTTGTTATAAGACATAAATGTGACTAGTCTATTGCATCACATGGCCTGAATACAATGACATAAACAAGGAATGACTCATAATACAATCCAGTGAGAGTTTCACTGAGTTCGTTTTCATTCTTTCATTGAGCTGTTTTCAGAACAAATTCAACCTAATTGTCTGATGTTACTTTTGAACAGGGAAAATATTTCTCGGCATAAATAAATACTAATTTTCATAAGTAACGTGACCTTTTACCATTGGTAGTCCACTGACATCATGTTTCGGACCCTATACTTTCATCCACAGATTCGGATGTTGGCATGGCGACAGTCAATCGCTGCCTGGATGCAGCCAAGGCTTGCAACGTGGACGACTTGTGCCAGAAGCTTCGCACAGAATATGTTTCAGCTTGTATCAAACACACTGCCAAATCAGGTCTGTGCAACCGGCCAAAATGCAATAAGGCCCTGCGCAGGTTCTTTGACCGGGTTCCTGCAGACTACACACACCAGCTGCTCTTCTGCCCCTGCACGGACACAGCATGCGCAGAGCGTCGGAGGCAGACCATTGTACCCAGCTGTTCATATGAAAGTGTGGACAAACCTAACTGCATTACGCAGATGAGGATCTGTAAGGCTGACTATGTGTGCAGGTTAGAACTGAGCTGTTTTAACGCCTTTAATTGAGTTGCTGTCTCTCCAAGTTCTCTCAGAATACTAGACATCACTTACCCCTGTTGTTTGGATACAAAGACACAAAGGTATAGAATACCTTTAATTCCCAGTTTCTGTTTGCTTAATGATCCTAGTTTTTATATTCCACTATTTTAAAACGTTCTTTCCATATTGGTATTAGAAAGATTTGCCATACTTGGACCAATGCAAATCAATATTGGGGTTCTTTGAAGCTGAATAAACAGCCATTCAATCAAGAAAATGGTCCACTATTTTACCTTAAAGCTCTCTGCCACCATGCCCAAGAGAGACTGTCGGAATAACATGTTAAATATTTAGCGCAGATAAAAAAACAGATGGATCAGAGTTATCGCTCATTGCTATCTCTTGTGCATAGCCATTATTTTTCCACAGGCCCATTACACTCAAAGGGCTTTACTAATGATCCCAGGTCTGGGGGATGAAATATATTACGCTTTCTATCACTTTCACACTACAGCTCAGTGCGTTCAGTCTTCACTGCAGAAAAGAATATATCTTCATTTTAGCCATGTTAATTGAAATGATTGTGAAGAAAAATTGAAATACAACACTTAAATATGAAAAAAAAACCAGCAACCTGTTTTTCAGCGTGTAACTAACTAGTGTGCTCTTGCAGGTCTCGCCTGGCACAGTTTCAGTATGACTGCGAACCCTCAGAAACATCTGCCAGTGGCTGCAAGCAAGGCAACTATGGAGCATGTCTCCTCGCCTACACAGGCCTTATAGGTAGGTATGCCTCTGAGATGCAACACACAGAATTAGAAAACATTTTGCAATTTAGAAAGAGAAATGAAACGAACAAGTGGAGGAGAAAGTATTTGAGGCATATGTGCAAGAAAAAAAACAGGCGGGATCGAGTGAAACTTGGCTACAAGGGAAATGGATGTTTACACAACAGGTTGAGAGCGAGTGGGAGCACATAATTAAGCTTAATTTTTATAAACTAAAAGACAAAGCTCAGTTTGGTGTAACTCATAAAAGCATAAGGATTTATCATAAAAGAAAAAAACACGTGTTTTATATAATGTAAGGTTCAATCTGCCATATAACAGTTGGTAAAAGAAAAAAGAACAGCCACATCATTTTCCACACACTGGAAGGAGGCAACAACCTAATGCATTTCAAAAACGTCAAATAGTGCCCCTCAGCACAAACACACACTTGGCATTTTCATTCCCGCCTTGTATTTATTAAAGCACTTGAATCCCACCTCCACTCTGTTGGAACAAAAAAAAAAAAAAAAAAAACTTCTGTGACCTAAAATAAAGGAAAAAAATGGAGCTTCGTCTTTCTATTTCTCAAGTCAGTGCACAAGCTCTCAGACCTGTAAAATTACATTATTATTATCTCTTCAGTGCAGGTCTGTGTACAGGAAATGCAGTGTCCATTAATTTTTTACAAAATAAAGCACTATGAATGAAGTGTACAACTCAAAGCAAGATGAATATTTCATTCTGATCGAAGCCGGCTGCTGTCTGTCTGCAGGAAGTACGATAACTCCCAACTATGCCGACAACTCAACGTCCAACGTGGCCCCGTGGTGCTCCTGCTCCGCAAGTGGGAGCACGAGAGAGGAGTGCGATCATTTTCTGGGATATTTTACTGACAACATCTGTCTCAGTGAGTGTCAATCTATCCACAGCAACTGAAAAGTTTTTTTTTTTTATCAACCTTTTTTTTAATCCGCCTTTTTCTTTGAGCATTCACTATATTTCAGTTGTTCTATATCTGTCTAGAAAAGGGAACCTGCTCAACGTTTTTGAAAAAGTAATGCTTTAATAATGCAGCTGTTTTGAGGAACCAAGTTAGAGTTATTAACTTTGACCAAACGTTTACCATTTACCTTGGAAATAAGGCCAAAGAGATGCTGAGATGCTATCATCAAAGTTCTCTAACATGGTGAGGTAGATATCTAAACTAAACTCAAATGTGCTGTAAATATATATATATATATATATATATATATATATATATAT